TGAAGCTCTTCTGTGCTTGTAGTGAGAAAATTTGTACCAAAAATTTGGGTCTACATTTTATATTAGACAGAAGAGAGTGGATTGGCTGCGAGCCTTTCCCTCTGTGATCATTTCTAAGCATTTCTAAACTGAGGATTAGTAGCAAATTCTTTTGCCTTTCTGGCTTTGTTCAGGAATGGTTTCAACGAGGGTATTTTTAGGAAAGGTGATTCATTTTCTGTATTGAAATTATGTGTTCAGTGCTACTGTAAAATAGGCTGAAATCTTTTCAAAGGTAGTGGGAGATGAGTGAAGATGAGTCATGTGAAATCCTTGGAGACATGGGTTGGTTTTGCTGGTTTATTTTCTCAGAATGACGAGTTTTGAGAGTTCTGTCATCAGTGGCTTCCAGTGGTTGAAGGTATCACTGTGGAGGGTAAGAGAGAAGAAAGCATGGGAAACATCCCACATCACAGGGACGGACAGTGGTTGAGTACAGGGTCTCAGACAACTGGGATGTTGACCCAGTGTCGTTGTTATGCAGAAAGTTGAATTCATTACCTGAATTTCATCCTTGGTAAGATTTGATTCTTCTCTGAGAAAAGTTAAATATAATAAGGCGGTGATTTAAAAGATAAGCGAGGCAGAGTTGGTGAAAGCTGTTTGCAAAGTTTTGAAGATAGTGGTTAGTGCTTAGACAAGCAAACTAATTAATGACACGCTAAGATGTAGTTCTTCAGAAGTGGATGGTACAGGTTTTCACTGAGAGGTTTGGAAAGCTCATCATAGCAACGTGCTTAAATAGCTGCAGAATTATACAGTATAAATTGAACTTCTTCCTAGAAAAGGAAAGGCTGTCATTTGTACATCTTTCAAGAACTAATGCAGAATGATGGATCATGTAAGAAGTAACATGTCTTGAACCTTCTGACTCGTAGTGCATAGTCGTGCAGTTCTAGTTATTTGTAGAGCTTTATAAGTAGTTTCCCTTGAGTGTACGTCTCCTAAATACGGCAGAGGGAGGGAGGTTGTTTTTATGCAAACTGGATTACTACAGTGTATTTAAAAGACACAGATAATGCATTCTCTGTTAAAGGAGGAACACCTGTGTTGGATCAGGTTGTGGGGTTTTTGTGGTTGTTTTTAATATGAAGTGAGGCATGAACTCCTTTCATGCTTTTAGTTAAAATACGTATATAATTGATTACAAAAAAGGAAGTCTGTTTCTGATGCGAAAGAATGACAGATGGAAGAATAGCTCTTAGGATGCTGTAAGGTATCAAAAAATGGCAAATTTAGAATTTCTTTTTTTCTGAAGGAAACGTCCTTAATTCTGTTCTTTACAGCAAAATTGGCTTCAGTAGAAAAATGTAGAATATTCTCAAACATAAATAACTAGCAAGGTAAGTTGTATTAGTCCTGAGTTTTTGGATTAAATCCCTGTCCTTCAGCCTTGCAACGCTAAACTGTTGCTTGATTCAGCAGATATTAAATATTAATGCCTTTTATCTAGAGAGGAAAACTAATGAAATACTGGCATGCTGTGTGCCACCAAATCAGTGAAATACGACTCTGGTGTGCTTAGGCACTTGAAAGAAGTCTAAAAGTAGACAGAATAACTTCTTATTCCACGTGTCATTTGTATTCTCAATAAATGATAAATATTTTTTGAAAATTATCAGAGCCAGAGTATCTTAGGCTTTTCTTAGAACTTTACCCTGAGACATTAGATTGGCAAAATATTTTTAGTAAATTTATACAGTTGAAGTAGAAATTCTGTTTTACCTTTTATTTGATATCATTATTTCTACCTTCTTCTGTAGTTACTCCAGCTAGGTTTCAGTTTAGGAGTTTGCATACTGAAAATATTGTCTTAAAATGCCTTTATGTAGTTCTCCAGACAAAATACCTTCTTCCAGAGGAATAGAAGGCAAGAACCTTCTCTGAGAGTTTGCAAGCTTTCAGTATCTCAGTCACAGAAGGGTGAGCATAAATGAACTGCAGAATCAGTTTCTTGATTTAAGTGATCAATTTAGTGAAAGTTTGGAATCTGAGTGATTAATGAGACAAATGAGTGCATGATAGGAGCATTCCTTTGTGCTGACAGGACAAATAGCTCCATCAAAGAGGAGCATGGTAACGGAAGGTTGGTAATTTAAGTCCAAATCCAAAAGCTCAACCTAATCAATGTATGTGTTAACCCAGCACATTTAGGAAGTTTAGCCCCAGAACAGTGCTGCATCTTCCATGTAGATAAATGAATTTTGTCTGTCTATTGCAGACCTACTTAGCCAAACTCTTATAAAATTAATCTCTCTGACATTGTTTTTTTTGGTCTGTATGTGCAGAAAGTATTTGCTTGCTATTTTAGGCTATCATCGTAGAATCACAAAATGATTTTGGTAGAAGGGGCCTTAAAGACCATCTGGTCCCAACACCCTGCCATGGGCAATGCCACCTAGCAGCTGAAGCTGCCCAGGGCCCCATCCAACCTGGCCTTGAGCACCTCCAGGAATGGAGCACACACAGCTTCTCTGGGCAGCTATGCCATTGCCTTGCTGCCCTTATCATAAAAAATTCTTCCTGATATCTAATCTAAATCTACCCACCTTCAGTTTTAAAGCCATTACTCTTTGTTCCATCTCTACATACCCCTGTAAAAAGTTGTTCCTCATCTTTCCTGTACACCCCCATTAGCTACTGGAAGGCCACTATGAGGTCTCCCCAGAGCCTTCTCTTCCCCAAGCTGAGCAAGCCCAACTTCCTTACCCTATCTGCATAGGAGAGGTGCTCCAGCCCTCTGATTATCTTTGTGTGCCTCCTCTGGACCTGCTCCAACAGCTCCATGTCCTTCTTCTGTTGAGGGCCCTGGAGCTCATTGGAGTACTGCAGGCAGATCCTCACGAGAGAAGAGGCCAACCCTTCAGCCTGCTTGCCATGCTTCTTTTGATGTGCCCCAAGATGCAATGAACCTTAACCCATGAACTTTTTTAAGGGAAAAAAAAAAAAAGAAAAATCCAGCAACCAAAAAAAGATGGATTTTGAACATTAAAAAAAAACCAAAACCTGGAACATATAGAAAACATTTTAAAAGTGAGCATAAAATACAAATAAATTAGTTATTAGTAGCAGATGCCATAGCTGTGGGGAAAAAAATGACTCTTTCTTTTCAGATACTGTAGTTAATAAATAAATTTTGCAGTTTTGTCTATTAAGTAGGCTGTCTGTCTTAAGCTGTCCAACATCCAGGAGTTGGAACAGATCTGTCTCAAACTAAGCACGGATGCAGTTTGGATAGGGCTCAAATGAAACCATTCTTGATGAAGGTGTTATTAACAATTACTGTGGAATTTTTCCTCTCAGAGGAAGAAAAACCTTTGTTGATGGATCTCCCTTTGAGATTTTGTTATGGTCACAGTTTAGGGCAAAGTGGTTTCAGTTCAGTATGTGTGAGATGAAGAACTGCTGTGAAATGGAGTTGGGCTGATATTGTGGTAGAGGGTGATCAGTGTTCCTCACCATCAGTTGGGTGCCTCACACGTCGTCATAGTTACCGTGTTGTGTCTTGGAATGGAAGAGAAAAGTGAGTTGGTAATATTTTCAGATTCTCTTTTGAATGGGTTGCAGTGAAATTGACAAAAGTTTGAGAAAGCCAAGTGTTGGTTGTGCATGAAGGAGATCATGAGAAGAGATGCTGAAGAGATGAGCGATGTCTACATTGGTGATATCTGTAGAGTGTGCATGTAAGGAAATGGAACAGATGATCATGGATTATATGGAGATAAAATAAGAGACTCTAGCTGACATCTTTCACGTCACCAGAAGTGAGAATACTCAGTAGAAGACAGGCAAGCAATCACAATGTGATCTCAGATGGATCCATAATTTTAGGAACTAGAAGTTTATTAACAGCTGAAAGATTAGGTACTGAGAATATCAAAATAACCCCACATTTGTAAAAACAAAAATTCGGTATATGACTCTGCTGATGGTCATGTGTTGATGCTAGAGAAAGAACAGAGTAGATTGCATACGTGTTGGTTTTTCAAAATTAAAGTGGCCTAACACGCAGCTCAGGGAGGGGCTTCATGAGGCAGATGCTGTATCCACATGTTTGTGTTTAATACTATTTTATTTTTCTCTGTGTTTTTGTCATCCCATTTACACTCTTGGCTTCCATGTTGTGACAGTGAGTCTCACAGTTGTAGTTGTGGTTTGTGGTGTAGTCATTTATTACGAACCTGGTGCCTGATTTCACAGTCTCGTATATTTCATTAACATGAACACCCAGTTACGTTAGAAACCTTACGATGGAGCCAGTCATGACAAAGCTGCCTCTCCACGCAAGCCTTTCTGCAGTTATTCACTGTGGGATTTCCTTTTACCTGTAGGAGATAAAGTATTTATTATTTGACTGCCTGCTGATAGAATAGCCTGTGTGGACAGCTAGTAGGTTTTATCCTGGTCACAACTGCTGTGTCCTGATGGTAAATGAAGTTGATTCCTGGACATTTCAAAATAAACATCTGATTACTCGGAACGAAATGCTCCATCTGTTGCACGCACACCATTACACACCCTTTGCTGTAAATGCTAATGGATGACTTCAAGGTGCACGTCCTGGGACCAAGACCTACCCTCCTAGAGCTCAACAGCAAAACTTTTTTGGACTGATAAAATCCTGCCTTCCATCCCCAAATAATGGCCAGATGCTTCATTATCTCACTTCATAGGCAAAAGCTCAGCGTGTACCTGGCAGCCTTCACTCTCAGTTAAGATGTTGATGTACATGTAATGACCACCAAACACGCTGCTTTCCTGGTAGGCCCAGAACATGAACAGATTTCACGCTAGTTTATAGATCTAATGAGAGCCAAATTGAGAGACTTTGTCAAAACCTGGGAAGTTCTTTTGAACTGCAGACAGAAAAAGGTTCCTGCTTGTTGGGTGTTGGTGTGAAGCGAGGGTTTGCAACGAGTGCTGAGTAACCTGATCTTTATCCTTTGTTTGTCTTTTTCTAGGAGAAGCTCTGCCTACCACATCACATCCTAGAAGAAAAGGGCTTGGTAAAAGTGAGCATAACAGTTCAAGCATTGCTAGATGTAACCACAGTGAAACAAGCTTTATTCACGTGAAACTACTCTCTCTGCTGTTACCAGCTCCACTGTGCCATCAAAGAATCAAATCACTGCCCGTCTATACAGACTGCATTGAAAAAGAACAGTGCTCCAAGAGTATTCTGATACTTCTGATTTTAAAATCATCTTTGAGACTGTACACGTGCGTCCAACTACAAACCAGAGACTAAAAGAAAACATTTTATAGAGCACATTGGGGCCTCACTGCTTTTCTAGCTCGCTTTGTACAGTACTTACTGAAACAGCCACCTCTGCCACGTAAAAATGTGTGGAGTACACAGCTGTCTTGCAGCAAGATACCTTCGTATTATTAAACTAAGAATCCTCATAATCATTTTTGGAGGGAGGGAGAGTAAGTCAAACTTCTGCCACATCAGGTTTTTCTGCAGTTGCTTCAGGCTATTGCCTTTTAAAAATATCCAGACACAAAAATATTTATATAAATGTTATTTATTAGTGAGTTGTTATTCATCCTTTGGATGCAAAATGTAAATTAGGAAACTGTATTTTATTACTGCTTTTTTTGTGGTTAAACACTTTATTTTAATATAAATGTTTAGTTATTTTTTATTCTACTAGGGGTGCAGTAGCTCTAGATCTCCATACGTTGTATTTTCTAACTCCTAAGAGCAAAAGCAGACCAAGTAGGTGCTTCAGTTCGAAGAACTGCTCGCTGGAATGGCATTCTTTAATTTTCAATGTGTGGAACATCGATGAAAGTTTGTCTGCATTCCGTTTCTTTCCTACATTCCAGCAGCACTTTTCCCCCCAACCCACACACACACACACACACACACACACACACACTTGATTCAATTGGCTGAAGCAGAGCACACCCATGACTTGTATATAGATGTTTAAAATAGGAAAGACGTAAACTTGAAAAAATAAATGTGAATATTTTTGATTGCTTATTTTACTATGCACAAGACATTTAACTTTTGCCACAACAGAATGAATGATGTGCATTAGGATCGTGTGTCTTGAAATATGATTTTTGCACTGTAACTTGATTTTCTTTTAAAGACTACGGCACTACGGAACGAATAGAGCAGAGCACAAGAACGCTAACAGGTAGCCAAAATGTTTTTCTTCATTAATTCCTTCAAGAGGTGATAAAATCATTAATACTGCCGAGGGCAGTCTTACATCTGACCTTCCAGCTGCTGGCTGCAGTGCTTCTCCCCATTCACTGAGGTCATTGGGCTCCCCCTGAATCGAGCACGGCGTTCTGTAGTGGGACTGGAGGTCCGATCCTACACCCATTCATGTCAGCAATAGGATAGAAGCTTCTCTTTCTTATTACTACTTTACGTTTTTTGAAAAGACTTTTCAGGAGCATCATTTATTATGAAAACATCATCTTTAGATCCACGAGTCCCAGCGCAGCCATTATCACAGTGTCTGGAACTTCCACTTTCTGTAGCTTGGACGGAGGCTGCAGGTGTGAGTTGGGTGGGCAGGGTGGGAGAGCTGCGTGTGGGGGAAGGTGAGCTGAGCCGCCAGCTCCGTGCTGCACGGGGGCTGTGGTTGGAAATACGCACCGTGATGGGAATGAGGCGATGCGGTGGGAGAACAAACAGGAAGAAAGCTGTGGAGAAAACTGTTGTGCAAGGACTTTCTGAAGGCACGATGCATACTTGTCGCTGCTGCACATCTAGGCTGAGTTACCTGCGTGTTTGCACAGGTGCTGCAGTTCAAAACAGCTGTGCTCCAATCGCAGACTTGCAGTCTATAGCGCAGTATTTGAATGCAGGCTGTGCACTGTAACACCACGGACTGCCAACGTCTGTACTGAGAGCAGCTTGTCAGAGTGGGCCTGCAGACACACAGTATGCCCAGGATAGCAGTTACTTCAACCAAAGCAGAAGCATTTATTTTATAGAGGGAACGGCGACTTAAAATGGCAATTGGGATTGGCAGCTATAGCATATTGTTTCCTATCAAATGTACTGTGCACTTTACCGCTAAATTAAAATGTATTTTAATATTTTACAGAGCTGCACAAATATCTGTTTTGTCAAAAAGCACGAGCAATGTAAAGAAAAATACGTTTTCGAGGTAGAGTTTATCACATTTTAAAAAGCATTCAAAGATTGATTATAAAATAGGAATATTGATTTCTGCATCTCGAGGGATAAAATGCAGGTTTCCTGAGTATTTTTTTACAATGTATATATGGCACCATGAAGCTTTGTAATTATTGTTTTGACAAATCTTGGTTTTTCATAATTAAAATTTTGTTTTTCCTCCTGATAGTGTCTTTCAGTATTTGCTCAAAGTTGGCTGTAAATAGCTCTACCTATTTTGTCATACGGCTTTTTTATGCAGTCTTAACCTGTATGGCTAAAAAGAGGATCTTCATGAGTCTTTGTACACTATTTGTACGTGCAATAAAACATGCATGGTGGATCTATCATACCATAAGCAGTGAACATAATGTATATAGAAAATCCTTACTGTAGTTACAATTAAACTCTATCGTTTGTAGAAACCACTTACTGGCTACCCCCTGGCTGGCAGTTTGTTGTAAAAGAGATGATGCTGAGAGCTGAACAGTGTGGGTGATGGAGGAGGTGACTGTGTGAGCCAAATAAAGGCACTGTAGAGCTCAACTAGGAATAGGATCCTGTTCCAGAATAGGAATAGTCCTATTAAACCTAAGAAACCTACAAACACACTGTAAGCCTTTTTCTTACTAAGCAAGAAAGGAGTGGAAGACAAACCACCTCCTTCAGCACAGACTGCTTCCTTAGAGCATTGGCCCTTGTGGTGTTTGTTAGCATACAGAACAGGAAACCACAGTGTGCAGCTTAATTAAGCACCTTGACTGGTTGTGGCACTAATTGATGAAATGAACGCAGGTTTTCCATTAGCGGAAGAGGCATACTGTTATTCACTGCCTTTGTCTAAGGTGTGCTAGAAACAGGCCTGAGTCCCAAATACTTACATTTGTATTATTAAGATCTAATTAACTCACCTGCTAATCTTCTTCCTGACCAAGAAAGCACACTCACCTACATGGTGTTAAACTTTCAAGCATGCAAGAATATTCAAGATACTCTGAACATCAAATTAAGTGGGACTTTTATTGTATTAGCAGTGTAATCAGAAGAGCTGTATTCTACAGATGCTGCTTCAATACATGATTTCTGTATTGTTCAGCTGGATCCTTTGCCTCCCACTGGTCAGACAGCACTCCCATTTCTGTAGTTCAAGCATTAAGGAACTTTGCATGGTGCTTGATGTGGTCATTGATAAACGTAGCAATGAAAAAATAGCTGTGATCATAGCCCTAGAAGAACAACAACAAAGAAATCAGCAAATGCGTATAGTTCACAACAAAGCAATCATGCTACTTGTCAAGAAGTTAGTATCTCTTGTGTTTTCATCTGTTTTAAGAAATCAAAAAGACATAAATGTAAAATTGTAAAGGGGGAAAAATGTAAAATTGTCAGGGGGAAGTTCTTTACACAGAGAGTGGTGAGGTGCTGGCACAGGCTGCCCAGAGAGGCTGTGGATGCCCCGTCCCTGGAGGTGTTCAAGGCCAGGTTGGATGGGGCCCTGGGCAGCCTGGTCTACTATTAAATGGGGAGGTTGATGGCCCTGTGTGTGGCACAGGAGTTGGAGATTCATGATCCTTGAGGTCCCTTCCAACCCTGGCTGTTCTGTGATTCTGCAAAGCACACCTAACAAGTCAAGTATAGAAGAGCTCTAGGAAGATGAGCAAACAGCGTGCACCTTCACCTGCCCTAATCTGGGTGTGCAAGTTAGAGGTGGGTTGGGTTTGTGGTCTTAAGGAACGTGGGCCTGGCAAAAATAAGAGTGAGGACCCTGAACTTCAGAAGAGTGCAATTCTGTTTGTTTAAGGAATTACTGGAAGGAATTCCATGGGAAACTGAAACTTAGGGATGGAGGAATGGCACAGAGCTGTCAGCTCCTGAGGGACACCTTTCTGAGAGTGCAGGAGCTTTCCATCCCTGAAAACCAAGCAGACGATGAAGGAAATGGGCACTGCTGAGGGAAAAGAAGGAAAATTACAGGCAATGAAAGCCAGGATGGGTGGGCCTGTGAAAAACACAGGGATGCCATCTGGATACGTAAGGATAGGATCAGGAAAGCCCAGGCACAGACGAAAGTGAATATGGTGAGGGATGTGAAAAATAACAAGGGCTGCTACAGGTAAAATGGCCAGCTGAGGAAGGCCCAGGAGAGTCTACCTCCTCTGGTAAGTGAGAAGGGACAGCTGGCAACAACAGACACGGAATCTGCTGAAGTATTCAATGCGTTCTTTGCCCCACATGTCACTGACAGGTTTCCCACACCTCCTGCATCCCTGAACCTCTAGGCAGGGGTAGGGGAACAAAACTGAGACCGCCTCATGAGGCTGAAAATGTATGTTTGCCCAGAGGAGCTGTGGGTGCTCCATCCCTGGAGGCACTCAAGGCCAGGTTGGATGGGGCCCTGGGCAGCCTGAGCTGCTGGGTGGCACTGCCCATGGCAGGGATTGGGACTGGGTGGGCTTTAAGGTCCCCTCCAACCTGAGCCATTCTGTGAACAGCAGCATCAGCTACAGAGCAGGATGCAATATGAGAGAACAGTTCCCCTCACTGGTATTGTCCTAGTGCTAAATACGGGCTGTGACCTCACATCTTAAGTCTGAAGAGCTAACATAGCTCTTTTGCTATGTTAAAATAATAAAGAAACCTCTGAACTGCTCCCTTTCTGTCAGCACCAAATAGACCTTGTGGCACAGGGCTGTATAGAAGCCCTAGCGATAAACCAAAGAGGACAATCTTCAAGCTGTGGGGCGGCCTGCTTACAAAGACTCCATTGCTCTCAGTGCGTTGCTGTTTTGGGTCACTGCACTGTAGGTCTTCAAGTGAATTTGATATTTCAAGCAACTCCATACCTCTCCTGATGTACACTAACACTCGCATGCTAAATCACAAAGCTGAACGCAACACCCACAGCACAAATAAGGAATCCTGCAAAAACACAGCTGTCGCGTTGCTTTTACAGTGACTGTGCTTAGTACAGTCATTAATGCTGCCTCTCCAGCTTATCACTGGCAGGTTTAAGAGCAGCCAGCGATACCAGCACCAGATCCGTTTGAGAAGAGTGCGCTTATGACCCCACCTAGTGGAACAAGGCAGCAAAAACTGCAACGTCTTTTCCTCAGCCAGGGGCAGACTGGCAGGTCAATAAATGCACGCCCAGTGACAAACTACCTGCTGTGCACACACCAAACTCACACAGCATCTACCCAACAGCAGGGTCTGCGGAAGCAACTTGCCTGCTGCAGTCTGAAGACTACTGGGATTTTCCTCTCTGTGCAGGCGGCGATGAAGTTATCTGGCAGTAGCTGGCCTGCTGATAGGAACTGATCTTCTTTGCCTTGATCAATCAGGATGTCCAGGCGAGAGTCTGGGTAGGACTTCACAAGCTGTGTAGCATCGTATGCCTGCAGAAGTAAAAGGGAGGCAATGCTCACGTATGCGTGTTAGAATGGACTGAATTCACTGACTGTGAGAAAACAATGGTAAGTGCAGAGTGCTGTGTTACACTGATCAAGACATCAAATTATAACTTGGAAGAGCAATCAGAACCTTATGCACTACCCTGTCACTATACAGTGGTGGAACAAAAACAAAAAACGTGTGTTCAATGACAGAACAAGCCAGAGTGGTAGTATGGGTCCATTCTATGGCTTATGCTAACTACAGAAGTGTTTTCAGCAGATCCTCTGAACTAGGCACCTGATTTACAACATCTGGTCCTGCAGCAGGACAGCACAACGATGTATGCCCAAATAACACAGCAACAAATATATTCGTGTGCTTGTAGCTTAGCAATTCTTACAAGACTGTTTTTATTTCTAAATTAGGGACCTAGAGCTAAAAACCAAACTCCTGGTTTAATCATGTTCTGTGGGATATCAATTTCCAAGTACCAAAGGGCTTCTCTGCAACTGCCTCTGCCAGGCTGCTCCTGCAGATACCACGAGGCTCATCAGACCCTGGCCAGGCTGTAGCACTGTCTTTCTTTTCAGGCTACCACAGAAGTTCTGAACACTGAAAACTCTGTTTTGGAGTGACAGACCATAGAGGGTCATTTAAAATTCTTAAACTCGTTAAATATTCTCATTACTTCCATGCATTACAGAAAGTCTCAGACTGCCCGTAATTCTTCTTAGCCTGTATTCTAAGACCTTCATAAAACATTTAGTCAGTCTGATGAGAGCTTTCTGTCTCGTCTGTCACAAGCACCACCAGGCAACAGCAAGACACACCCAGCAGAACTGTGCAATGTGCTGTGCACACTCTTAAGCATGGATATAAAACAACACCATCAGCTCCTGGGCAACTCAAGAGTTTTGTTCCAGACATCTGCTGCAATGTAAGCACAGATCACTCATTCACACATCACTGAAGGCCTGCAAGTTGCAGCACATACCTCCCATTTGCTTACATCTGATCCCAGATATCCACCAAGGGCTTTCTTGCCCCACTGGCACTGCATAGGGTTGCAGATAGGAGAAAAAGCCGACACAGACTGTGTGGAAAGAGAGCATGAAAAAACAAAACACAACAGCAATTACCAAAAGCAATTTCTGATAACAATCAAACTGACAGTGTTTCAAAACAGCTTTAGAAAGCACTGCCAGAACTCTGACTCTGCCACCAGCCCTTTAATCTAAGTGCCATAACTATTACCCTATTTCCCTATTCTGGGCAGCCTGGTCTGGTGGTTGGAGACCCTGCACATAACAGGGGCTTGAAACCAGATGATCACTGTGGTCCTTTTCAACCCAGGCCGTTCTATGATTCTGTTATTTGCTCTCCCTAGAGCCACAATGCTCACTTTCCTTTTTGCACACGAGCCAAGCTTTGAAATGAAGGGTTAGCCACCCCATTCCATTGTATGCTGGATGTTGGACGTTGTCTTGAATTCCTTAAGCAGCTGATAAGCCTGCTGTGCATGGTGAGAGCATGGAACTATCTCATCTCCAACTCCATTCTGGAACATAGGAAAGGCCTGAGGCATGGAGCTCAGCCTGTCTGAGCCTGCAGCAGTGTCTCCTGAATTTAGCTAACTTAACTGAAGGATTAGGAGTCGGGAAACAAGCATTTCAGAGCACAGGTGCCAGGGAGAAAAGTCAAACCTCTATTTTTTACATTCTTCTTTCAGATCTGTCCTTGGGCCCATCAGTATTTCAACTCTTATGCCCTGCAAGAAATAGCAACCAACTACTT